AGCTTATCGGGCCCTCGATGCGGTGGTGCCTGAATTCCTCACACTTCTTTGTGTGGGTCATGGAAGGTTTTGCGCGCGAGAAATGCCTGATGCGAGCGCGACGGCGCTAGGACTTTTCCTCTCCCTCTCCCTCCAGATGTCGAGTGGGGAGAGGAGAGTGCGAGGGGGCGGCAACAAAGTCGAACGGGCGGTCTTGGTGACGCCGCATTTTATGGTGGAGTGTCTTCAGGTCAGACATTTTCGTTGCGTCTAGCTTAGGCAAGATTCGAAAGTGACAGTCGCAGTGTGGACAACCATGTGGATCGGGGACTGGAGGGAGAAATGTGATTGCATAAAGGATGGTGCAGCGGCGGAGTTTGTTTGAAGCGCAAATGTGCCAAATGTAGTAGTTCCATCTCAACTGAAGGAAACTTGGGTTCAATATGTGGTGTGTCCTCAATGCAATGTAACCAAGTTCTGAATTAGGAGCTTAGTAAACTCGGGAAATCATTGAACACTTTATTTTATATTCTGAAAGGATCAGCAGAGTTTCTGTTTATCATTTGTATGAAGTCTAGTACATCGAGGCTTAGGGTGATTGAAATCGAAAGTACGTGGTGCTTGGGTGGGACCATTTCTGCCATCCGCGCCGCGAGATTGGAAGATCAGCGAAATTCTGCTGGTCGGTGTCACCACAAGGTACTGTAGCTGCAGATGGCTGCCCCGTTGGCCTACAAAAATCAGTGCTCCGTTATTTGTCAAACACGAAAATGGATGCTGCTTGAGCGGTGACAAGGAATCAGAGCAAGGCACGTGGCAGAAACTTTCATCGCCTATTTGCTGGGAATCCGTAGGCTTATAGGCAATCCCATATTACACGTAAGGTTGATTGGATTCCACATATTGACTCTCCATCCTCTCATTCAGCTTATAAAACGACACTGTTATGCACATGAGCGAAGACTAAAACAGTAAAGCAAGTATGCAAGGGGGATTTACCATAACATCGCCGACTAGAGGCGGGCGGGAATCAGACTCCTACATCATCTCAATGCATGCTCATACTAGTAATCTCACCCCAGGATAAGCTAGTCACCACCGAATCTCTCTCAAACGGAACAACAGGGAAAACCAAATGAATGCAAATCTATTGCAAAAGCATGGATGGTATGACTTCACAAGGTCATTGCATGGGAACAGCACGGCCACCACCAGCAGCAGCACCACCACCACGATAACCACCACCTCGACCCCTCCCACCACCACCACCCCCGCCACCACCGCCACCACCACCATGACCACCATATCCCCCAGCGGCATATCCACCTCCATATCCACCCCCTCCATATCCACCTCCCCCTCTCCCTCCATATCCATAACCCCCTCCCCCGTAGCCTCCCCTTCCACCGTAACCACCCCCACCCTGGTAACCGCCTCGCCCGCCGTAACCACCGCCGTAACCACCGGAGTAACCGTAGCCTCCGCGGCCTCCTCTCCCTCCCCTTCCGCCGTAACCGCCGTAACCACCGTGACCCACGTCGCCAAACGTCTGGTTACAAGCAGGGAGGGTTTGGCAAGAAAGAAAAGAATTGGGAAGATGGAGGAAAAGCAGGGAGCAAAAATGGGGAGGGAAACGAGGGGGGTGGGAAATTAGGAGGGAAATATACGAGGGAAAATTAAGAGGAAAAAATAGCCGAATATAAGGAAAAAAATTGGAGGAGGAAAATGAGGGAGCAAAAGTAGGGGTCATGGAAAGACAGATACCACCAAAAAGCGCTTCTTAACCAAGCAAATGTCCTGTCGTTCTTGGATCCTGAGGCGCCTACCCCCTTCCCCTCCTCAGTGTCCATCCGTCGAATGTCTGATGCACGCATGCCGCCATCCCCCACCCCCCTCTCGTCCTAAATGTCCTTCATTTACCCACCCGTTACACACGCATGCCACCACCCCGGCCCTGTGTACCACTCGTTCCCGGCCCTGTGTACCCCGGCCCTGTGTACCTCACTACCCTGTCGTTTTCCCCCGTTCCCCACTCTTCATCCCTTCCCCCCTGTTCCCCCCCCTCACCTCGGTGTCCATTCATCACATGTCAGAACCACACATGCTGCCACGCGGCCCCCACCAGCCCCGGAATAATACCATCAACCACCCCCAACACCTCCCCACCACCCTCACTCACCTCTGTATCCATCCGTCGCATGTCAGAACCACGCATGCCGCCACCCCGGCCCCCTCCGGCTCGCGAAAGCGCATCACAAGAGAGCGAGTCAAAGAAATCGTCCTTCACATAGTTGGTGGACGCCTGGTGTGAGGTGGAGGGTGGTGATGATGGGTGTTAACGGGAAACAAGGGGGCAGTGAGTGAGGTATCACGTATGCATCAAAGAAACAGCGCATCACAAGAGAGCGAGTCAAAGAAATCGTCCTTCACATAGTTGGTGGACTCCTGTAAGTAGAGGGAGGAGGGGAGGAGGGAGGCGGGGCGTTGTAGGGGAAGGGGGGGGGGGGATGAGTATAATACAAGCTCTCTTGTAGGATAGCAAGCGCCGCAGGAGAGAGAGGCACTAAAAGTCATCCTTCACATAGTAGGTGGACGCCTGGTGCGTGTGGGGGGCAATTCATTTTATCATACGGTATGAATTTGTTGAAGGCATGGCCTTCACAGCCCACCAATTACCTTTCGCACTTCCCTCCTCCTCCCATCATAAAACCACACCACAGCATCCCACCATAATCCCCAGTTTCCCCATACCATAACATCCATACCATCACACTTCCTCTACACGTCCCAATCCCTCTTTCGCTACTTACCCTCTTCTCTTCTTTCACACTTCTCACTTCTCACCTTCTTCCCCTCTTCTCCTGCCCCTTCCTGCTCCTCGCTCTCCCTCTCCTCCTGCTGATTTTGCTGCTGCTGGTGCTGCTGGTGCTGAGAGTGCTGCTGATGCCCTCCATGCCCCCCCAGCTCGCCCCAGACCTCTGCCTTGTTGAACTTCTCGTTCATCGCACTGAAATCAAACTCCTCCGCATAGGCTGCCACGTTCTGCGCCGCGCCGCCGTGTGTGTAAGAAGGGGTGAAAGGAGGGAGAAGGGGCAGGAGAGAGGAAGGGGAGGAGGGGAAGGGGGCACGGAAGGAAGGGCAGCAGGGAGCGGGGAAGGAAGAGAATAAAGGAAGCATGAGTGTGGCATGTCCCCCCTGCTCGCCCCAGACCTCTTCCTTGTTGAGCTTCTCGTTCATCGCACTGAAGTCAAACTCCTCTGCATATGCTGCCACGTTCTGAAGGGGGTGCACGGGAGTGGAGTGGGAAGAATTTGGGTGGAGGAGGAGGAGGGGGGAAAAGGGGGGAAAAAGGGGGGAAAAAGGGGCAGGCCGGAGAGAAGGGGCGGAGGTGTGTGGGTGGTGGGATGGGAGGCGTGGGGACAGGCGAGGAAGGAAGCATGAACGAAGGAGGAAGCGCATTACAAACACTTCGTTCAAACCCTTCTTTCAGCGCATGAGAGAAGAACCTTCGTCTGTACCTCTCCTTTCAAAACTAGTCTTTCTTTTTTGAGGCACCTCAAAAGGTACGAAAGAAGAACCTCGCCTGTACCTCCACTCTCGAAAACACATCTTTCACTGAGCCCACCCTCACTCCCGCCCTCCTTGCTCTCCTTATTTCCTTAATTCTTTCTTAATTTGACACAGAAATACACCTACTAGTGTGGTGCAATTTCCCCTCCCCCACCTCTTTCTCCTTCCCTTTGACCCTCCCTACATCAACCCTCCCTGTCAAACCCACTCAAGTTCTGAGGAGCCTCAAAACTACTCTTCTGCTTCCCCTTCACCCTCCCTCCTTCAACCCTCCCTGTCAAACCCACTCGAAACACACCTGCTGATGAAAAGTCCCTCCTCCTCCTCCTCTTCCGCCTCCTCCTCCTCGCCCTCTTCCTCCTCCTGCGGCTCCGCCCCTCCGCGCGTGGCCAGACTGCAGCGCACCATTGGGCTGCTGGAAGGAAAGGGAGGGGGAAGGGAGGGGGCGGGGAGGGGGCGGGGGGGGGGAGAGGGAGCAGGGGCAGCATTTAAGGCAAGGACAATATGTAAGAAAGGTGAGTTGATCGTCCCTCTGCGCGTGGCCAGACTGCAGCGCGCCATTGGGCAAACACTGCAGTCTTGACTACTGCGGGAAGGGAGAATATAAAGACAAGAGTGATAATGAATGGAGGAACGAGCAAAATAAGAGGGGGGAAATGAGCAAACACTGCAGCAACTGCAGCAATTGTAGCAATGACATCACTTGCAGCAGCACTGGCAGCAGTGGCAGCAACGGCTGACACAGATACCTGTGCGGCAATTGCAGCAACTACAGCAGTGGCAGCAGAGGCTGACACAGATACCTGTACGGCAATAGCAGCAGCTACAGCAGTGGCAGCAGAGGCTGGCATACCTGAGCGGCCTGTTGCAGTGGCAGCAGTGGCAGCAGCACAATTGCATCACACCAGCAGCGGCTGACATACCTGAGCGGCCTGTTGCGGAGGCATTGGCAGCAGCGGTAGCATAGGCAGCAGCGGCAGCATTGGCAGCAGTGGCAGCAGCGGTAGCAGTGGCACAAGTCGCGGCAGCCACAGTAATGGCGGCAATGGCAGCAGCGGCTGACATACCTGAGCGGCCTGTTGCGGAGGCAGCAGCAGCAGCGGCTGGCTCGACGTGTCTGGAAGTGAGAGAAAAGGCAGGGAGACAGAAAGGGAGGGAGACAGAGAGGGAGGGAGACAGAAAGGGAGGGAACAAGGTGACCTTTGAGTCGACTCAAAAGTCAGTGGCAGCAGCGGCTGGCTCGACGTGTCTGGAAGAGAGAAACAACAGAGGAAGGGAGACAGAGGGAGGGAACAGCAGAGCGAGGCGGCGAGGGAGGGGGACCGCACAGCGAGACAGCGGAGAGTGAGAGGCGAAGCAGCAGAGCAGAAAGTAGAGAAACGGCGAAGGAGGGGCAGAAGGCCAACAGGGAATCACATGAGCCAATCAGTGGCACGAAGGGGTTGGAAAAGATGGCAATTTGCGAACAGCTGACATACCAAGGAGGGGCAGGGGTGAGTGGGTGGGCGGGGAGGAGCGGGGGGAAGGGGGAAAGGGGGGGGTGGGGGGTGGGGTGGGTGGTTGCAGAATGGAAAGAACGAACCGGATGGGAGGGAGGGGGAATGGAAAGAATGGAGCAAAAGAAAGAGCAGCACTCAGCTTACCCCAGCCAGCGGCGAAATAATAGCACGCGCTGCAGTGCGGGCAGCAGCAGGTTTCACCGCGCATGCCCCTACCCCTGCTGCGCCCATCCTGGCTTTGTTCATCCCCCCAAAAAATTTGGAAATTATTTAGAAAAGGACTCTACTTACCCCAGCCAGTAGGCGCAGCAGCAGGGGCAGCAGCAGGTTTCACCGCGCCTGCAGCACCCACCCCTGCCAAAGCCGCCGCAACCGCTGCTGCTGAGGCTGAAGATACAGCAGGAACAGCAGCAGCAGCAGCAGGAGCAGGAGCAGGAGCAGGAGCAGGAGCAGGAGCAGGAGCAGGAGCAGGAGCAGGAGCAGGAGCAGGAGCAGGAGCAGGAGCAGCAGGAGGGGTGACAATAACAGTGGCAGGAGCAGGGGCAACGGCAGGGGGAGGGGCGGTTGCAGGTACAGCAGGCTTTGATCCGGCAGCAAGAGCCGCAGCAGCAGCGGCGGCAGCAGGAACAGGGGCAGTGGTGGATGGTGCAGTTGCTTTAGCAAGGTCGGCAGGGGAGAGAAGCGCCGGCTTGGGAGCAGCCGAAGCTGCCCCTGCGCCTGCACCAGCAGCAGCAGTAGCAGGCGGAGGAGCAGCAGCAGGGGCAGGGGCAGGGGCAGCAGGGGCAGGGGCAGGAGCAGCAGGGGCAGCAGGAGCAGCAGCGGCTGCTTGTTTCAGGGCAGCAGAATCCTCTATGGCGGCAGGAGGGGGGGGTGCAGGACCCTGCGCCTGCGCGGGAGCAGGCGCTTCAGTGGCGGAAGCTGGCGCGGGTGGGGCGGAAGGCGCGGGACCAGGCGCAGGAGGCGCGCTGGGCGCAGGCGGAGACGGGCCAGCGGAAGGGGGCGCGCCCATGGGCGCGTACTGCTGCTGGGGCGGCATCCCCGGATGCTGCTGCGGCGGCTGCTGCGGCGGCTGCTGCTGCGGCTGCTGCTGCTGCATGTGGGGGGGATAACCCTGCGGAGGCCCCCCAGGGGGAGGAGGAGGTCCGCCCATGGGCCCTTGCGCGCCTGGCGGATAATACCCCTGCCAATGCGGGGGGTAATAGTTCGGGGGAGGAGGGCCGGGCGGGGGACCATAACCCCCTCCGCCGTGGGGCGGCGGGGGACCCCCCATCGTCCCCCCCTGCGGGGGAGGCGGAGCTCCCCACATGCCCGAAGGGGGCGGAGGGGGGTAATGCGGGTGCTGGGGACCCGGGCCATAGGCGTTCGGGGGGGGAGGTCCGGGGTAAGGGGGGGGTTGCTTGTATTGGGGCGGCGGAGGCTGCTGCGGTTGGGGCGGGGGGGAGGCTTGGGGTGGCGCTGGAGGCGGGGGTTGCGCAGGGGGGGCCTGTAGAAGGGGAAGCGAAGGGGGAGTGGGGGCGGGGGATTGAAGGGGGGGAAGGAATAGGAAATGGGAAGGGGGAAATTGCGAATCACATGTTATAACGGGGATCACATGCTCAGCTTCGAGTACTAAGATAACCTAAACCAATAAGAGAACACGGATGGAGTTAATGCTAAAATCACAACGGGTAAGCTTAGTGAATCTGACTTTCAAAAGGCGGATACGACAAGATGGGTGGTAAAGTCCCAAGCGATCAGCACAGAAGACAGAGGGCAAGCGAACGGCGGGAGAGGGGAGGGTGGGGAGGGATGGGAGGGAGGGAGGGGGTGAGGGGAGGATGGGAGGGATGAGAGGGAGGGGAGAGAGATGGGGGGAAGGGCGGGAATAGTGGGTGGAAACAATTAGGGTGGTGGGGAGGAGAAAGAGGGGGAAGAAAGGGCGGGGTAACTGGAGGAAAGGAAAATGCAAATAGCTTGTAAGCAGAAGGAGTGGGTGAGCAGAGAGAGGTTTAAATCGTAAATTTTGAAAGGCCAATAACAGCACACAGATTAAGACGCGCGGGCGGCGATACCTGTTGCTGACGTGGCAAGGACTTGACTTGAAGGTCCTGAAACAGGTGGCAGAAGGGAGGGAACGAAGAAAAGACATTCCAATAGATTGAAAGCGGCGAAAAGCGGTAAGAGGCGGGCAGAAGCTGAAAAAATCAGATCAGACAACGAACATGCGGAAAAAGGAAACCCAACTTTGCGACAATTGATGCAACAATTGATGTGTCCCACAATACAGGACCTACGAAGCTGGGCAATCAGCTAACATTAGCTAAACGCAAGTTTGCGACAGTACGGACAGACAGAGAACATGCTCGGAAGTAAAAAGCTCGACGCATTAGTTGGTATCTGTTACTAAAAACGGCAGTCATTACGCAAAAGCAGCAGAATAGTCGACGCGCTTACGCCAACAAGGTTCAGGTATTTTAGTCAAAGATCGAACGCGAGACAAAAAATATATTAAAAAAAATAATGAGACGCATGCAATCCAGCAGATCTAAAACGTCGCTCTCGCGTCATTCAAGATGGGCGAAATGGGAACACCACCAACGAAATAGCAAAATGGAGCCGGTTCTGCGAGATACGGTGCAGCCGTAACCTGGTAACTAGACACACCTTGATATCGGTTCCGCGAAAGATAATAAAGTCGTAGACCTTGTCGCTGGGCGGGATTTGCGGGCCATCCTTCTTTCGCCCCTCCGTTCCAAAAGAGCGCACTGGACATCGAAAGATAGGATAACGACGAGAGATTGTTACGTAAGGCACGGTTTTGGATCCTAACAAGATTTAAAACATCCCGTTTCTAAGAAGCGCACTGGACACTAGACAATGGGTTAACGGCGGAAGACAGAATCGACTACGATGGGCATTCAAGATCCTTCGACTGTTTAAGAGACGGGAGCGGAGAAGAAGACAAAGGAGTAGCTCAATGAATAAACTCGAGAAGAACGGATGACGGCATAAAAATACATAAGAGGCAGAATTTAAGAACCACGAACGAGCCGCAGAGCACGCGCGTGTTGGAAACGTCACAAGATGATAATCGAGGAATGCGAAATCAGAAACGCTGGGCACGCTACATGATACAAAACAAGAAAGAGGAAAGAAAAAAAAATGCACAACGAACCAAAAAAAAAAAACAACAACAACAACAACAACAACCATTCAACGGGCCAATTCTGAATCTCGACTAACACGGAACATGCCGACGAAGGGTGAAGGAAATAGGAAGAAGGAAACACGAAGAACGAAAGATGAGGGGGAACAATGGTGAAAGAGAGAATTTTTTAGAAAACTACCGTTTTGCAAGGCGATGTTGGCTTGTTGCGTATCGACAGTGTACAGCACACCCTCGTATCGGATCTCGCTCTTAGACGTCAGACTGATTAAACACCCAATGTACGAATCAGCTCCCCCTCCTCCGCCTCCGCCTCCGCCTCCCGCGGGAGCCGCTGCTGCGCCTCCGCTTGCGCCTCCCGCGCCTGGGGGAGCTCCTCCGCCTCCCCCTCCGCCTGCGCCAGGCGGTGCTGAGGCTGCGGCGCCAGCGCCTGCTGCGCCTTCCTCTCCGCCCATGCTATTGCTCTAAGCGACTATCCAGAGTTGCGATAGCCAACTAACACGCAACTAATAATCGCAACTGCTGCAACAATCTATACCTAAAACCAGGTGCTGAAATATCCCTGACCTAAAACTCGAGATCCGTGAAAAACCAGATCCCGATCGGGAAAACGCGAAAACAAAAAACACGAGAGAGATTAGTCTGCCTAGAACCTAGACGAGGCAGAGACCACTGAAGCTGATGCGAACACGACGCTAAGCTTCCTAAATTAGGTCATCCATGGCTGATTTGCCAGGGAAAACAGAGCAAGCAAAGCAGCAACAAGCAATACCTAATTCAGGAAGCTAGGAAAGCAGGCGGAGACCAAATGATGGAGGAAGAAGGTTTGTAGGTCACAGCTCCAGTGGATAAGGCGTGTGACGTTACTAATCGGTTTCGCAAGCTCAGTTTCGCAAAAGTTGCCTCGAAAGAGGACTTCGTGAACGCTGGAATTGTTGGTCTCAATCGCAGGACACGTAAATCTCAACGTTGGAAAAACAGATACAAGTAAGCATCGAATATAACTTCCTGTTATGAGTGCAATTGAGTGAAAGAATTGCACTATCGAAGCAAGAGTACAATGAGCGAAGGCATGAGCGAAGAATATATAGCGAAACTACAGTGGTAACGGTAATGGACTGTGGTTGTCGCGCGACGGGCCTGGGACTGAGGTTGGGAAAAGTGTCGAAGCGGAGGCCCGGAGCGCGGGTTACCCGCCGAGCCGTGATGTCGGGGTGCGAGGGTGGCGGGCGGATTGTCGATGCGAGGATTGCGAGTGGTAACGGTGCTGACTGTGGTGCTACAGTGATGTACGCGTTGAGCAGGGACGCGAAGTAAGGAAAAAGAGATTTTCCTTACTCTTCCCAATAAATGCTACATAAATGATGGAGATGTAATGAATAAGATATCATGCTATTCCAATATGCACACGAATCCAGAACATTGGATCATGTCACTGTATGGGGCTAAAGGCACTACACATTACGCCACGAATAAACTATTTGGTACCTTCCATACTTGTTCGACCCTAACATGCTCTCTACTTGTCACATCACATATCTTTCTGATGGATTACAAGCCATCTGTGTTCAATGTGAGCGATTTGGGGTCAAGAAGATACCGGATCGACCAATCAAATGGCGCCGCCTCGACACATTGTGCGAATGTGGGATTGCCTCTAAGAGCAACCCATTTTGCCAGTGCCAACCGTGGCGCAGGGGAGAGCTGGTGCAACACCCACTCAAGCAAGGATGGAAAAGAATCAGCAAAATCCGGGCAGTACCTGTGGGAGGAATTTAGAGGCAGGGCAGGAAAAAAAAGAAAAAATGGTGAACATGGGAAGGGGTGTGCAAGGAACACGGTGTGGCAATCACAAGGCAACAAAGAATTCTAGCAAATGCTTGGTTGCAAGCCTTGAGAAGAGCACAAACACTAAGGCCTACATCACAGGCACTCAAAAATTCTTGTTCTTTCTTTCTTTTTTTCGCTCTTTCTTTCTTTATTCCTTTCTTTCTCTGTTTGTTTCTTTCTCTTGTATTATTTTTCTTCGATGTCACGCACCAGTCAAGTATTTTGGGGAGAACGAGGCGGTTGTCTCGACTGAGTCCCACTGCCAGCTCAAGGAACCCCTCTCTTGCCTCCTCCAGCTCTGCCCTGACTGTACGCGGTGAGAACACTTTCAGCTGGAGGTGGGGGAAAGGGGGAGGGTCGGAGAAAGGGGACGGGGAAGGGGAACAAGGCGATTGACTCGACTGAGTCCAACTGCAAGCTCAAGAAAGCCCTCCCTTGCCTCCTCCAGCTCTGCTCTCACCGTGCGCAGTGAGAATACTTTTAGCTGGGGGGTGAGAAAGAGGAGGGGAAGGGGAAGGGAGAGACAGCATAGAAAGGCAAGTAAACAAGAAGCCCTCCCTTGCCTTCCCCAACTCTGCTCTTACTGCCCGTGGTGAGAAGACATGTGGGTGTAGGAGGGGGAAATGGAAGGGGGAGGGGAATGGTGAGGGGAAAGAAGGGAGAGGTATCAAGTTGCAAGCCCTCCCTTTGCACTGGCAGCCACACTGCACTGACTGGTAGAGTGCACTGACTGCATGCAATTTTGTTTCACGAAGAAGAAAAAACCATGAGAGGAGACCTTTGATGAAACCCGCTTTTTTTTTTTTTGTAATGTTACACGACAGGGGACGACGAAGTGATTGAGGAGGACTCACCAGAGGAGCAGGAAAACTGCCCGGGAAGAGAGAACATGAGAACAACGCAACAAGGAACAACAAAGTGGATATAGGAGCACTCACCAGGGGAGCAGAGAAGGTGCCAGAGCAGAGGGCAAAGGAGACGCTGGGGTGGGGCGACTGCAGGGCCCAGGAGGAGCGGTGGTCGCTTGGAGGGAAGGGACGGACCTTGAGAGCCGTGGCCTGATGGGGTGGAGGGGGGAGAAAGTGGGAGAAAGGGGGAAGAGAGAACATGGATAGAAGGGAATGCGGAGAGCGAAGGAGACGCTGGGGTGGGGGGAGTGCAGGGCCATGAAGGGCCCATGAAGGAGATGCTGGGGTGGCCCATGACGAGCGGTGGTTGGCTGGAGGGAAGGGGCGGGCTTTAAGTGCCGTGGCCTGATTGGGTGGAGGGGGGAGAGAGTATGGAGGGAGGGGAATACACAGAGCATAAAAGGGAGGCGCTGAGGTGTGGTGTAGCTGCCATGATGAGCGGCGGTCGCTTGGAGGGAAGGGGCGGACCTTGAGAGGAAGGAGAGAGGCGGGGTGGAGGGGGGAGAGAGTATGGAGGGATTTCACTCAAGAATGGATCTTAAGGTAAAGAATATTTGGAAGTTTCTTGCCTAAGAATTCCGAAGAAGATGGATGGACGTCACAGAGACAAAACAAGTGCAGAGAGAAACGGCGGCAGAGAGGAGCGGCGGCAGAGAGGAGCGGCGGCAGAGAGGAGCAGCGGCAGAGAGGAGCAGCGGCAGAGAGGAGTGTTACCAGAGTGGAGTGTTACCAGAGTGGAGTGTTACCAGAGAGGAGTGTTACCAGAGTGGAGTGTTACCAGAGTGGAGTGTTACCAGAGAGGAGCGGAAAGATTGTGCTCGGAGAATGGAGAACTCAATTTCAAATGCGTTGATGGCCGTGCCTCGAATGGTGAACGTGGCCTGGAGTGGGGAGAGAACGGGTTGCGGAGAGGGTGACAGGAGGAGGGAGAGCGGAGGGAGAGAGGCGAGGGAGATAGGAAGGAGAGAGGCGGGAGAGAGGCGAGGGAAAGAGGTTATGAGGATTAGTTGTGAGGGACCAGAGAGCCTGATAACATTGTGTTAGAATGTGAATGCAGCGTTCTAGAATCCTAATAAGAGCCAGAAGGCGCGGCACTTGGTTAGCAGAGAAGGCAGCAGACCTGATTGAGCAGTGCGATGCGCTTGGCATGTGTTGTGGGGTATCCATCCACCAGGAATGTCTGCTCGAAGTTCATAGGGGTTGGGTGGGGTGCAGAGAGGGACAGAAGAGGATTGATCGAGGTGGACTGTGGAAGGACGAGGGGGAGATTGGAGGACGGGACATGGAAGGGTGTTGTGTGGTGACCCAGTCCATGTCTGGCCTACAGTAAGAATCAAATGCAGCTGCAGCAAACTCACACACAGGGCACATCTAGCCACACATGCAGTAGCCGTTCATTGTGCAGGTTCATTCAAAGGCCAGGCGCTCAACCTCTGAGAGCAATCATACCACTACCATATGCATGCAGGGTAAGCAGAACACTCACGTGCAGCAGCAGCGCGTGTTGCAGGCCTCCTCTGATAGCAGTCTTACTACGGCTCATGCACATCCACATGCACATGCCACCTTGCTCACATGCATGCAGGGTAAGCAGAACACTCACGTGCAGCAGCAGCGCGTTGTGCAGGTTGATCCAGAAGGCCAGCCGCTCGTCCTCTGATAGCAGTGCCGGGCTCACATCGTCCAACTGCTCCGCTAGCATCCTGATGATGCCATGGGAGAGAGCAGGGAGGGTAGGGAGGGCTAAAAACAATGACAGTGGCACCTCGACAGCAGGGCCGGGCTCACATCGTCCAGCTGCTCCGCTAGCATCCTGATGCCAGGGATTGAAAGAGCAGGGAGAGCAGGAAGAGCAAGAAAAAGGGTTTGATTTGAATTCCATGTTGACCTTGGCACCAGCAGCAGCACACTCAGTGGCAAAACACACTCACTGGTATCTACAGAAAAGGAAGACGTTTGCACTGGTGAAGGATTCGGAACGAGGAACAGCAGTTGCCGCCATGGCACTGCTGTACGCCCCCACAACTGGCAGGGAGGGATGCATTGCACCCTCAGGTACCTTGGTCCTACCGTATCTGCAGAGCGGTAACCTCCATGACAGACAGCATACTACTCACCTGTAGCGGCAGAGAAGGAAGACATCGGCGCTGGAGAAGGACTCGGGAGGAGGCACAGCAGTGACCTCCATGGCGCTGCTGTACGCCCCCACCACCGGCAGGGAGGGATGCCCCTCCAACGCCCCGTATGGATCCACAAACCCCTCCGGCCGATTCTGGGTAGCCTCAAAAGCCCCCTCTGCTGGTCTATCCCCTGCAAACCCTGCTTCTGTAACGCCTGCCGCAGCAGCTGCTGCGGCTGCTGCTCCTGCCATGCCAATGTCTGCAGCGCCAACAGCAGCAGCAGATAAACCCGCTTCAGGTGCACCGGGCCCGTTCCCCTCTTCCGTCCCCTCCCACCCTCGCTCGTCTGCTGCCCCTCCTCCCCCCTGCTTGCCCCCGGGAAACGCCGACCGCAGCCACTGGGGCGCTTTGGCTGTAGCAGACTTGGCTGTAGCAGAGGCAAGAGCTAGGCCCCTACGGGACTTAGAACCCGCGTCTGATGCAAAGAGAGAGGGCTTTTTGGAGAGGGAGGGAGTGAGGGAGGGAGTGAGGGAGAGGGTGAGAGGGGTGAAGGAGGGAGTGAGAGGTGGGAAAGAGGGGGTGATGGGAGGAAATGCGGCTGTGCTGCTGAATTCTGGATCATCCTGGGTTTTAAGGGGGCTTAGAGTATCAATGCCAGCACTGTTATCATCACTTTCACCGGATCTTTCGCCTCTACCTCCTCTCTCTCCTCCCTCCTTCGCCTCACTCAACCCTCCTTTCCCACTTGCCGCCTTTTCCTCGCCTCCTGCCCGCCCCTGCTCCGACACACCACGGGCCTCGTCTGACGTGGCACGGGCTGAATCCGACGTGGCACCGGCTGTACCCGACGTGGCACGGGCCTGGTCTGACGCGAGCAGGAGGGCAACGGCACGTTTCTGCCCCTCCCCTAGCCCCCACGCGGCAGGGTGGGCATGGTGCAGGTAGATAGTTGCAATGGATTTCAGCATCTCCTCTGAGAGCGCACACGGGCGGGAGCGGTAGTCGTCTAGCTCGAGAGAGAGGGGGGCCGAGTCTGTGGAAGGGAGAGAGGAGAGGCGAGAGGAGGAGGAGGTGTTTTTGATGGTCTTTTGGAGGTGGTTTATGGACTTGGCGAGGGATTTCCGGAAGGATTTGCGCGAGGAGGACTCTGCAGAGTGGGAGGAGGAGGAGGAGGAGGAGGAGGGGGTTTGGGTGGTGGATGGAGGCGGAGGAGCAAAGGCCACGTGGGCTGCAGCACTGGCACCGGTGCCACTGGTGCTGTTCCTTGTGATGCTGCTTGTGCCGCTGGTAGTGCCAGTGCTGCTGCCAGTGGTGCTGCTGGTGCATAACTTTTCGCCAGTTCTGGTTACCAGTTCGATCGCAGGGGCTTCAGCAGTGGAGACGCGTGGTATGCGCGGCCGTGGCTCAGGTGACGTCTCAGGTGATACTTCAGGTGCTATCTCAGGTGAAACCCCAACCCCAGGAATAATAGGCTCATGCACACCAGGTTCAGATTGAATGGGTACAGGTGCGGTTGAAAGGGGTGCAGATACGCCTTCGTCTTTTTCCTCACCGGCCCGATCTGCCCCTTCATCTGCCCGTAAACAAGTGGTTCCCATGGCAACGGGGGCTATCAGTCCCGAACCAGACCCCACATCCAGCTCCGAAGCTAAGCCGACCACCTTCTCCTTTACCGAGCCTACGCTCCTCGTCCTCCTTGGGCTTTGCAGCTCAGGCTCGAAAACAGGCTCGGCAGCAGGTCCGGAAAGGCTCGACAAATCCACGCCGGACGACGAACGCAAGCCTGCCACGTCAGCAGACGTCCACTGCTCCGGCGAGTCGATCTTCACAAACACATTGCTGCTGGGCGCTGGCACACGGCTGGTAGGTTCGGCACCTGCCGAGCCTGCTCCCGAGCCTGGAGCCGAACCAAGCGGGGGCTTGGGGTGTTGCTGAGAGCGTGGCGGAGCCGATCCTGCTGCTGCACCAATTCCAGTGCTACCACACACACTATCACTTCCTGCCATTCCACCCCCAGAAGGCCCCGCAGCTACAGATCCTCCAAGCAAGCTGAAATCAAATCCAGACCCACCGCCGCTGCCGCCGCCGCTACTCGCCTTAGCTTCCTTGTTGCCTCGCTTGGAGAATCCTCGACTCTTCTTCTCCTTCCCTTCCTTGCTCTTCTTCCCCTGCTCCTTCTTTCCTTTTCCTGCAAGCTCTGCCTCGGTTGCAGCGATCAGGTTTTCTAGCATTGCTGATAGATACTGCTGCTGCTGCTGCTGCTCCTGCTGCTGCAGAGCGCTCGTAATAGAAAATTCCTCCTCCTCCATTACTACCTCTCCACGACCACCCACTTCCCACCCCACCCTGCCCTCACTCTCTCCTTTAACAAAAGCTTCTACATCCATTTCGCCATCCCCTTCCCCCTCTCCTTTCCCTTCCTCTTTCCCCTCACACGCTATCTCATCTTGAGTCGACCCAAAGATACCTTCCTCCTGCCCCCGCAGGTGTACGCCCCCCCCCTCCCCCTCATCGCATTCTCCATCCTCCTCCCGAATCTCCTGCTGATTTGCACCCCTTGCCTTTGCCCATCCGTCCTCTCCCTCCCCTACCCTCCCTTCCAGTCCCCCCAGCACCATCTCGGAGAAAGATCCAACGGCCAGGAACTTCCGATGGTCTGCGGCAGATTGAGAATCTCCAGCAAGATCTGCTGCATTTTCATCAGTGGGGCTTGTGCCTCCTTCCTCCCCTGTATAGTCATCATCTAATACAAGCACATTAGGCTGTTCCGCCCTGCAGCTTCCGTCCTGATCCTTGGAGGCTTCTCCAGTTCCCTTGTCCTCTCTTCCAGTGAATAACGGCCCTCTCTGCTCCCCTTCCCTCTCGTCTTGATCCTCCATTCTGAAACTCACCGAACATCCCTGCCCTCCCCAGCCGAAAACATTCTCCGAACCATCGGACAGGCCAGACCTGGCTCGGTCACTGAACAAGCCATCCCGAGCCTCATCACCAGGTTCGGAATTGTTCCGAACGAATCCGGCGGCAACACCACCAGGTTCGGAATTGTTCCGAGCATAACCAGCGTGTATGCCCGGAGCATGCCGGACCGCAAACGACAGCATCTTACCCAGAGGGGAGCGAGGGCGGGAGGAGGACGAGGAGGAGGAAGGGGAGAAGGAGTGAGTAGTAGGGCTGTACGAATGGTGTCTCTCGGGAGTTTTTGCTCGGCGGAAAGAGAGAGAGGGGCGCATGCGCTCAGGGCTCTTGCTGCTTGCAAGCAGCATGGAGGGCACGAGGGAGGTCGGAGCAAGGGTGATGCCCTGACCTGGGTCAGACGAACCCATCGATCCATCTTGGTACTTTGATGATTCCCCTGCCCGGTCGAAACCCTCAAAGCCCTTTGAACCCTCACGCATGGAGCGGGACCTGAGCGCAACAGCAACAGCAGCAGCAGCAGCATCGCCGCCACTCCTCTGCCTCGGAGTAACCCCCTCGGATCCTTCTTTCCCATTCACCTCACGCCCATGTGCTCGCACATGGTCAGAACTAAGAAGAGCGTGAGCGTTAGCAGGGAAGGCAGTGCGGTGGATAGCAGAGGTGCTGCGGTTGAACCGAGAGAACACTCCAGGAGAGCATGCGCCATGTGCCATGTTCTCCATCACTTCCTCTTCTTTCTCCTCCTCCTCACCCTCTCCCCGCTCTTCCTCCTCTTGCTCACCCTCGTCCCCCTCCTCTCCCTCCTCTCCCTCCTCTCCCTCCTCTCCCTCCTCGCTTTCTTCTCCCTCCTCTCCCTGTAAGACGGAATCACCTCCCCCTCGCCTTCCCGCCCTTCTCTCCTGCCTTCCTTCCCCTCCCACCTGCCCCTTCACTCCCTCCCCCCCTTCCCCTCCCTCCATTCCCTTCCCCCCAGAAGCTCCAAGCTTAAAATCCAATGCCGCAAGCCCTGATACCACAGCAGACCTGCCCGAATCCTTTCCTGTATGGGCTTGCACAAGAGACTCACTCCCACTCGCACCAGTGGAAAGCTCAGCAAGCTCAGCAGCAGCGAAGGGAGGCAGGTCGGGAGGCCCTGGCACAGGAAAATCCAGGTTATTGAGGTCCTGTCTCGTGTCGGATGCGCGGCGAGCCAAGGAGCGCTTGAGGGTTGGCTGCGTGGCAGCCCTTATAGCTTGAGGCGGCAAGGAGTCGTCCTCTTCCTCAGCCAACTCTCCCTCTCTTCCCCCTCTTCCATCTCTTCCTTCCCCTCTTCTCATCCCCCCTTCCTTGTCATCTTCCACCTCCCCTCTGCCAGGGTAGCTCGGAACCTTTTTCCTGCTGTGGGTACTGCTGCTGCTGCTGCTATCTCGGTCCGATTGCAAGGGTACATCCGAAACACGCCGTCCACGCACCATCTTACCACCGCTCTTCGCCACTGCACCATCAGCCAGGGCTCTAAGGTCTGCTTCAGTGGACGATAAATACCGCCCCAGGTTCCTAAACGGAGACATGCCTCGGCTCAAGGGCTTCGCGCTGCTGGTAACCAGGTTACCAGCACCAGCCGGATGACCACTGCTGTTACCAGCACCAGCAGCACCACCAGCACCGGCACCAGCACTATACCCTATTCCGCTCACAGAATCGGCATCCCCACCGCTGCCGGTCCTACGATGTGCTCCCGGTATGATAGGTATCCCACCCCAGGATGCACCCCCTCCCTCTCCCCCTCTCGGCGACCCCATCCCCCCACCAGGGAAATACCCCTCTTCCCCGTCTCCTGCCTCATCCCCCCCTCCGCCTCCCCCTCCTCCCCCTCCTGCGCCTGCGGCTCCCCCCGCTCCTCCCCCCCACGCCCCCACTCCTGCTGAGCTCACCTTTTTCTTCAGCTTATGTAGCACCTTCAGTCGACTCTTCCCCCCTCCCCCTCCCGCTCCTCCCCCTCCCTTGCCCCCTCCCCCCACCGCATTGCCATCACTCCCTCCCGTGAGATGCCCCACCTCGTCTTCTTCTACCCCCGTTCGACCCTGCCAGTCCAGAGTCCCCATGCTCTCCCCTCCCCTCCCGCCACCACTCCCTCCTCCTCCCCCACCCGATTTACCCCCTCCCCCTCCCTCCTCTGCTTCAAGCCTCTTCCCAATCTCCTCCCACGACCCACTCCCCCCTCTCCTCCGCCTGCCGCCTTCTTTCGCCCCCTTCGGATCAGTCACATCCTTTATAAGGTCCTTCAGCCGATGCACCTGGGTGCTAGAGCTAAGAGTAGAATAGCTATGGCCAAGTATAGACGCCCTAGAAGCACCACCACCACCAGACGGGCCAACAGAGGCCGAGTGGATATCACCCCCTCCTCTACCTACCCCTCCCATTCCCCCTCCGCCCACACTCCCGGCAGCAGCCGAAGCAGCGGCAAAGGCAGCAAAAGCAGCAGCAGAGGCGGCGCCAATGGCAGCAGTGGCAGCTGGGAGGACAGGGGGGCTGGTGTTGAGCGTGTGAATAAGGTCTTTGATAAGGGAGGCGAACCCGGGGGAGGTGGTATCTAGCGCAGGGTCACTCAGGATCTGATCCAGGAACTCTTCCACCTGAGGGGGAGAGGGGGAGGGAGGAGGAAGAGGAAAGAGAGGGTCACTCAGGAAGATTCACTGGCAGGAAGATTCACTGGAATGTCTCAGAAGGTGACAGTGTACCAGCACGTGCGGAACAGAACAGCACGTGCGGAACAGAACAGCACGTGCGGAACAGAACAGCACGTGAAGAACAGCATGTGCGTGCCACACCTACACAACACATATAGGCTGGCTCCGGTTCTCTCACTTCCCAACGTTTTGCAGATTAGCTCAACCCTTCTGGCCCCCTCTGCCCCTGTCTGCCCATCCCTGCCCTTCTCTGCTCCTCCCTGCCCCCCATCTGCCACTCTCCTAGGATTCCTCTGCCCCTCTGCCCTGTTCCCTCTTCTCCTTTTCTTCTCCTTTAAGAATAGAAAACGGTTTCGAACTGCAGCAAGCCGTGGGCCTCCGTAAGTGTAGTGGGTAAATCTACAAAGCATTCCGCCTGAAACTCTTACGGAGACCCACGGCTTGCTGCGGTTTAAAACCTTTCTCTACTCTGCAAAAGTAACATCACCTGAGAATTCTCAGAAGTGACGTCGTTCTCCTTCCTCTCGTTCTGAATCAGCTCCTTGAAAACCTCCTGCTGTGCTGTCAGCTGCAACCTCTGCTGTGCACTCACCCCTGGTACTCCTTTCCCCTGTTCTTCTTCCCCTTTCCCTTTTCCTTTAAGAAACGCACCTTCTCATTCTCCTTCTTCTCGTTCTGAATCAGCTCCTTGAGAACCTCTCTCTGCGCAGTCAACTGCAGCCTGTGTGTACACAGCTCGGAAAGACAAAGAGAGACATGAACAGACGAAAGGTGTGGCTTGAGTCGACTAAACACACAGCGGCAGCCGCTGTGCTCATGTGCTCAAAACATGCGTGTCCACATCACATGTCGGGCCAGCACACAGGCAAGAAAGAAATGAACATGTGAAAGGGTTCGCACACAGTATGGTCCCAGCACAGGCATGCACGCACACACAAGCACACACAACCCTACGCAAGCACCCACTTCCCCCCACTCATAGCTGCATCTGTGCGGTCACCCACCCAACCACCTCCACACCCACCCCCATAAACCGCCCATAACCCAGACACATAGGTGTATCTGAGCAGTGTGAACAGCACGAACTGCCCCTGGAAACCCCACAGCCCAGTGCACCTGCTCCAGAGCGCTCGATGTTGACCCTCCCAACGATCAGCTCCAGCAGCAGCGGCAGCTGATGCGTTTGGCTTACCCACCTCCACACCCACCCACCCACACCCACCCACCCACACCCACACCCACACCCACACCCACACCCACACCCACACCCACACCCACACCCACCCACCCACACCCACTCCCACACCCACCCACCCACACCCACACCCACACCCACACCCACCCACCCACACCCACACCCACACCCACACCCACACCCACACCCACCCACCCACACCCACACCCACCCACCCACACCCACATCCACACCCACCCAGCCACATCCAAGGCAAACTCACAGTTGCATCTGAGCAGTGCGAACGGCGCGCACGGCACCAGGCGACCCCACGGCCCAGTGCACCTGCTCCAGCACTGCTCCAGGTTGACCCTTTCCACCGTCAGCTCCAGCAGCAGCAGCTGCGCGTCTGGCCCAGCCACCCCCACTCCCACCCAACCCCACACCCGCCCACCTCCAATGCAAACTCACAGTTGCATCTGAGCGGTGTGAACGGCACGGACTGCCCCAGGAGACCCCACGGCCCAGTGCACCTGCTCCAGTGCTGGCTCCAGTCCAGGTCGACCCTCTCTACCGTCAGCTCCAGCAGCAGCAGCACCTGCCGCATCTGCCCACCCTTTCCCACACCCAGCCACATCCAAGGCAAACTTACAGTTGCATTTGTGCAGTGTGAACAGCGCGCACAGCACCAGGCGACCCCACGGCCCAGTGCACCTGCTCCAGCGCGCGCTCCAGGTTGACCCTCTCTACGGTAAGCTCTAAAAGCAGCTTGCGTGTTTGCGCCACCTCGTCCCCCCAGTGGTGCACGTCTCTATGAAGCTGCCTTTCAGCCCGGTCCTGCTCCTCCTGTTGGCACATACGTGGGGTCGGGATAGTGAGATGGGATTGAGGCCACTTCTAAAAAAGCCTCCAGCAGCAGCAGCAGCAGCAGCAGCAGCAGCAGCAGCAGCAGCAGCAGCAGCAGCAGCAGCAGCAGCAGCAGCAGCAGCAGCAGCAGCAGCAGCAGAAGCAGCAGCTCCAGCAGCAGCTTGTGTGTGTGCGCCACTTCCTCCCCCCAGTGGTGCACATCCCTGCGCAGAAGTCACTTTGCGAGATCCTGCTCCTCTGGTTGGCATTAGGTAGCTCAGGAGAAAGACTGGGAGACTGCAATCCATTGACGCTTCTATCATCACTTATCATCCGGCCTAGTCCTTCCCTGCCTTGGTTTCTACTTGCCCTGGTTTTCACCTATCCCAGTTCACCCCTGCCCCATTGCTCACCTGCACAGGCAGTGTGGGCATGTCAGCGCCTGCCACGGCAATGAGCTCCACCAGCTTCTCATGCCTCAGTTTGCACCTTCCCTGGTTCTCCCCTGCCCCAGCTTTTCCGTGACTAAGTTCTCACCTGCACGGGCAGTGTGGGCATGTCAGCTCCTGCCACGGCAATCAGCTCCACCAGCTTCTCATGCCTCAGTTTGCACCTTCCCTGGCTCTCCCCTGCCCCAGCTTTTCCGTGACTAAGTTCTCACCTGCACGGGCAGTGTGGGCATGTCAGCTCCTGCCACGGCAATCAGCTCCACCAGCTTCTCCTGCCTCGCCAGCTCCCTCTCGACCTCCTCCTCCAGCCGCAGCACCTGCAAGGCAGGCACACAGACGGACCATAAGATGCAAAGTTCATGTTTTCAGCGTAAGTACTGGAAGGTGGGTAGATAAACAGCACCAAGCACATCATAACTAGTTTTCAAGATGGCTCAAGAGTCCCTTACCCCTGTGTCCATCAGAGATACGTTGCTCCGTGTCCGCCTCCGCCCCTCTCCACCGCGCTCCACCCCTCGCTCACCCTCTCTACCGCTGTACCTTTTCGCCTCTAACCTCGTAAGCGACGCGGTCCTCCCCTCCCCTGCCACAGCCCTCCCTTGCCCAATGTTCGCCCTGCTTTCAGCCCCCTGGCTGGTCAACGCGGTCAACGGAGTCAACGCACCACCAGACGCAGTGGTCCCCGCAGCAGCATTGGGATCTCCAATCCGCTCTGCTGCTTCTTTCACGGCTCTCTCCATTTCTGCTGCTGCTTTTGCAGAAGCCACGGCTGCTGCCAACCGTCCATCTGAAGGCACAGCCGCCACCAGCCGTCCATCTCTGATAACACCTGCTCCTCCAGCAGAAGCCAATAAATCTGCACCGCCGGTGGCGCGTAGGCCTCCCTGTGCCGGCTCGTTTGCTTCTCCCCCTGCTGCTGCTCTCTCCGCTGCTGCTGCTTCTGCTGCTTTTGCAGCCGCCACAGCTGCCGCCAACCGCCCATCTCTAACCGGGCCTGCTGCAGCACCGGTTTGTCCTGGTGGGACCTGTGCCGTCGTTTCACTTGCTTTTGCTGTTCTCTCTTCCTCTCCCGATGCTGATCTCTCTGCCGCTGCTTCCTTCTCAGCTGCTGCAGCCTTCGCCGCAGCCACAGCTGCCGCTAGCCTCCCGTCTCTGATCATACCGAACGCTCGAGCAGACGAGTGTCGCCTGTGCCAGAGAGTCGAATCTAGGGTATAGCAGTCCCTTCAGTCTCTCATCGTACCTGCTCCGCAGACTCAACGTCTGAAATGCCGCTCAGTCCTCAATGGTTCCTGCTCTGCAGTCTTTAATTAGCAGCATTTAATCTCTAATCGCAATCCCGAATGCTGTTTCAAGTCACCACTTGCTCACTCCTTTTTTACACTTCCAATCCTGACCATTTGCAGCACTAGGTTCCGTCGTATAAGCAGCAGATAGCATCAGCGAAGGATCTCCACAATCGCAGAGTGTTACCGGGCAGAATATCTTCGCCTGGCAGCAGTGCTGTGCTTAGCTAAGCGCCTTGACGAATTCCTGCGGAAGAAGGAGAGTGGCGGGAATTATGAAGCCTTCGATCAAGCTAAATGTCCGTTTCGCTGCATTTTTTAAGAACTACAATGAGCAGGATTTGTAACCTGATTCGGACATCATACTGTTTACCTTTATCAGCAGACGTGCCAATGGCAGCAGAACTACAAATGCATAAAAATATTTATTGATTACAATGCGCCGACGGGCAAACAGGCCCAAAGCTTGAAGGAAGATGATACAATTTACATATACTAACCTGCCATTGTCGTGAAATGCTGAGGTTTCGTGAACGCACTGTGTTTCGTGGCAGCTCATAAGAACAAACCATGCAGAGGGTCTTCTAGTGCCTGAAACAACTAGAGAATCGAAATCGCTGCATTTTCGATCATTCTCTACTATTCTGACTTGCGAACAGAACACCACTCAGCTCAGGTTCTGAACTTCAGGAATTCCATTACACCCCCACTTGTCAACTTCACAAGTCGACCCAGCAGCTCCTGTCCTTGTTGAAAGCAGGGCGAGTATGCCAAGGTTAGGTTGGGAGGGAGGGAGGATAACGAGTGGACAAAGATATGTCTAAACCGAAGTGTTCGGTCTTTGGAACGTATACAAAGCGTCTGAACCACTCTGGAAAGCTTGGTTATGTGCCATGTCATTCGCGTGAACCACCCAGCAGCGAGTGGCTCTGACAGAAGAGTGGCCGTACAGTACACGCACGCTTGAAGCACACGAGCGCAGCGGGAAGCGGAATTTGGGGGTGGGCACACTTTTTACCGCGAACGGCCCCGATTTCCGCTCCGCCTGGATGATTTGGGGGGAGATGTGATGCGGACGCGCGTGATACCTGAGCTGAGGGAGTAGGTGGTGCAATCTGTTTGTTCGCTTCTGTGGCTATCCCGCTTGCGGAACGATAAGTGAAGGCTTCAAATAACGAAAACGTACACACACGGCAATCAGTTAGCTTCTATATACCCATACGGTAATACAAAGATTGCTGCTTTTTATGAGTGCTTCCTCATTCCCCAAGACCACTTGCGACTAGATACTCAATAAGAACGCAATAAATGGGGGTGCTGCTACACTGCACCATGTCAATCAAGCACCGTCCATTGTGACAATGGTTAGTGGATGGCCTGAAGTGCTGGGTTGCCAGCGACCCTTGCAGCCAAAAAAATGCTCCACAGAATTGAGGCGCTCTGAGCCAAAAAAAAAAAAACAAGAGGCGACGAAATCGTCTTAGGGTTGCGAAGCGTTTTGCGTAATTACATAAATTTGTAGAACTTATAATTCTGTACATTATGCTGTAGTATGACACTAAGTAGTACTTCTTGTCGCTAGGCAAAGATCAAAAGGATCACACCCAGCAGGAACCGAACTGATGTCCGTTCTAATAGGCTGAAATTAACACACTGTTACCTTTGCGACGAATCTGAGACTACCTTAGGGTTTGTTCGTCCCTTTTTTCTCCCGTTTCTCCTTCTCGCTGGTCACGCTCTACCAGCTTCTCCACCTACTCTGACTGCAACTTAGGTAAGAAGATCCCTCAGCTCTAGCTCCAACTAAGTTAGATGCCTATTAGATAGAGTAACATTTAGTCAATCCGTATCCTTACTGTGTAAATGGATGAGTATTAGCTAGACTTAGTTGTTTAAACGTAGGTTCTAGGCCCTTTGTAAATATTTCAGGTTCTCCTTTTTTTTTTTTTTTTTTTTTTTTTTTTAAGATTTCGTTTCTTCCTGCATAAGCTTGCATCTGTTTCTTCTATTCTTCATCCTTCACTTTTCTTTTCGTCGGTTGCCTTTTCTTCATATTTGCATGTTTTAGTTCTTTTTTTTTTTTCAACCTCGTCTTAGGTTGTACATAAAGATTGTAATAGGTTGCACGTTCAGTCCATTTCGTTCTCTCTCGCTCGTTCTCTCTCTCCCGTTTCTCTCTCTCCCGTTCTCTCTCTCCCGTTCTCTCTCTCCCGTTCTCTCTCGCTCGTTCTCTCTCTCCCGTTCTCTCTCTCCCGTTCTCTCTCGCTCGTTCTCTCTCTCCCGTTCTCTCTCTCCCGTTCTCTCTCTATCGTTCTCTCTCTCTCGTTCTCTCTCGTTCTCTCTCGTTTTCTTTCTCCATCTCTCTCTCTTGTTCGATCTCTCTCTCTTGTTCTCTCTCTCTCTCTCGTTCTCTCGTTCTCCCGCGTTCTCTCGTTTTCTCTCTCTCTCTCTCGTTCTCCCTCTCTCTCGTTCTCTCTCTCTCGTTCTCCCTCTCGCGTTCTCTCTCTCTCGTTCTCTCTCTCTCGTTCTCTTTCTCTCGTTCTCTCTCTCTCTCTCTCACTCGTTCTCTCTCTCGTTCTCTCTCTCTCGTTCTCTCTCTCTCGTTCTCTCTCTTTCGTTCTCTCTCTCTCTCGTTCTCTCTCCCTCTCGTTCTCTCTCTCTCTCGTTCTCTCTCACGTTCTCTCTCTATCGTTCTCTCTCTCTTTCTCTCTCTCTCTCTCTCTCTCTCTCTCTCTCTCGTTCTCTCTCTCGCGTTCTCTCTCTCGCGTTCTCTCTCTCTCTCTCGTTCTCTCTCTCTCGTTCTCTCTCTCGTTCTCTCTCTCTCTCTCTCTCTCTCTCTCTCTCTCTCTCTCTCTCTCTCTCTCTCGTTCTCTATCTCTCGTTTTCTATCTCTGGTTCTCACTCTCTCGTTCTCTCGCTCGTTCTCCCTGGCTCGTTCTCTCTCTTGTTCCCTCTATCTCGTTCTGGGATTTTTTCTTGAAGTTTTCAATAATCCGTTACAGTCATTCTCTCCTAAACTTCTATTTTTTATATTGCATCTATTTTCTTGCATTTGATGCTTTTTGTTTTTGTCATCGCAGATACTGGTTTCTGGGCATGATGGAATGGAAGGAAGGGAGTGTCTCGTACAACTTACAGTGCAATTGTTTTAGTTATTTTAATTATAAGTAACTGTTTGATTTGTTTCATTTCTGCTTGTGTTATGCCTCTTCTCGTTGCAATCGTAATGCATGTCTGCATGTTTCAAAAATATATCTTGCCGATGATCGTCACAAAAGGTTGAGTGGTCCACCACTATGACAGTGAAGCCATTTTCAGCTGGACTTGATCGGTGTAGATATTTTTTTGGGATATGCAGATTGTATTGCTCATTAGTTATATTCAACGTTTATATTGCTGACTTCCCCGACATGCTAGGCGGGGGAAGCAATAGTATAAATTTAGGACTTCAAACATTCATCAATCCGTTTGATGAATATGAGAAATGCAATGATTGTTTGGTCGGTCATTGCATTTCTCCACAGATTCTCAAATTTCATAATATTGCGCGTTACAAAAAAGAGTTGAGTAGCATAGCAATGACCAGCAAAAAGGGTAAGTTTTATCAAGCTTATCAGCACCCTAAACAAACATATTTGTCGTTATTTTACATTTTTTTTGCGGATAATAAGAAATTCTTGAAAAAAAAAATAGCTTCAGGTCGATTGCAATAGGTTGCTTCGCAACCCAAAAAAAAAAAAAACTAGCGCATCAACCGTCAGTAATTGCCACTCCATATTTATTTCCCAGCCAGGAAAAACACCTGGTACCCCAATGCTTAAAACCAGTTCTTCCCATGTCAGTAAACCCTGAACCCTGGAGGCTCCACTGCATATTGCCCACTTCCCCCCATCATCCCACCCCGCATCCCACCACCACCGGCACCACCTCCACCTCCTCCCCGAGCGTCTCCCCCCATCCCTCGACTACTGTCGCCATAGTCCTCATAGTAACGGCCGCTTCCAGCAGCAGCTGCAGCACCGTTGGGGGTATGAGTGTGGGCGGCTGGATACGTGCCTCTTCTGTGTTTGGGTATGGAGGGGTGAGGAAAAGGTGGAAGTGGAAGGTGAATTGGGAGAGGAGGTTGGCAGCACACGCAATGCATGCAACACGCATGCAGGAGTATGAGTGTAGGAAGCTGGGTATGTGCTTCTTGTGTGCCTCCGGGTACGAGGGTGGGAAAGGGGTGGGTGGGAGGAAGCGCAGGAAGTGGCAGGTGAATGGGGCCAGGGAGGAGGAGCAATAAGGAGTGAGGGGTGAATGGATAGAATGTGAAGACACATATGCCACACGCATGACCCAAATGTAACACACACAGCGCACGCTCGTACCTGCCAATATCAGCGAGCTGGTGAGGCGAGGCGGGTGGAGAGGCAGAGGAAAGACACATGCCATGCATGCAACACTCATGCCACACACACAGCGCACATGTTTCACACACAGCGCACGCTCGTACCTGCCAATATCAGCGAGCTGGTGAGGCGAGGCGGGTGGGGAGGCAGACTCAACCACGGAGCCAGAGCGAGAGAGCACTGGCGATTTGGAAGGGGGTGGGGAGGGGGAAGGGCAGAGCGGGGGGGAAGTGAGTCGGAAGAGGAATGAGAGGGTGAGAACAAGGTGGGTGGAGAGGCAGACTCGACCACGGAGCCAGAGCGAGAGAGCACTGGCGATTTGGACGGGGGTGGGGAAGGAAAGGCAAGGGGTGGGAGAGGAAGAGGCCCATGGGGGAATGTCCAATGTAGGAGCCATGACTTGTGTTTTGAGTCGACTCAAAACACGGCCCATGTAGGAGCCATGACTTGTGTTTTGAGTCGACTCAAAACACGGCCCATGTAGGAGCCATGACTTGTGTTTTGAGTCGACTCAAAACACGGCCCATGTAGGAGCCATGACTTGTGTTTTGAGTCGACTCAAAACACGGCCCATGTAGGAGCCATGACTTGTGTTTTGAGTCGACTCAAAACACGGCCCATGTAGGAGCCATGACTTGTGTTTTGAGTCGACTCAAAACACGGCCCATGTAGGAGCCATGACTTGTGTTTTGAGTCGACTCAAAACACGGCCCATGTAGGAGCCATGACTTGTGTTTTGAGTCGACTCAAAACACGGCCCATGTAGGAGCCATGACTTGTGTTTTGAGTCGACTCAAAACACGGCCCATGTAGGAGCCATGACTTGTGTTTTGAGTCGACTCAAAACACGGCCCATGTAGGAGCCATGACTTGTGTTTTGAGTCGACTCAAAACACGGCCCATGTAGGAGCCATGACTTGTGTTTTGAGTCGACTCAAAACACGGCCCATGTAGGAGCCATGACTTGTGTTTTGAGTCGACTCAAAACACGGCCCATGTAGGAGCCATGACTTGTGTTTTGAGTCGACTCAAAACACGGCCCATGTAGGAGCCATGACTTGTGTTTTGAGTCGACTCAAAACACGGCCCATGTAGGAGCCATGACTTGTGTTTTGAGTCGACTCAAAACACGGCCCATGTAGGAGCCATGACTTGTGTTTTGAGTCGACTCAAAACACGGCCCATGTAGGAGCCATGACTTGTGTTTTGAGTCGACTCAAAACACGGCCCATGTAGGAGCCATGACTTGTGTTTTGAGTCGACTCAAAACACGGCCCATGTAGGAGCCATGACTTGTGTTTTGAGTCGACTCAAAACACGGCCCATGTAGGAGCCATGACTTGTGTTTTGAGTCGACTCAAAACACGGCCCATGTAGGAGCCATGACTTGTGTTTTGAGTCGACTCAAAACACGGCCCATGTAGGAGCCATGACTTGTGTTTTGAGTCGACTCAAAACACGGCCCATGTAGGAGCCATGACTTGTGTTTTGAGTCGACTCAAAACACGGCCCATGTAGGAGCCATGACTTGTGTTTTGAGTCGACTCAAAACACGGCCCATGTAGGAGCCATGACTTGTGTTTTGAGTCGACTCAAAACACGGCCCATGTAGGAGCCATGACTTGTGTTTTGAGTCGACTCAAAACACGGCCCATGTAGGAGCCATGACTTGTGTTTTGAGTCGACTCAAAACACGGCCCATGTAGGAGCCATGACTTGTGTTTTGAGTCGACTCAAAACACGGCCCATGTAGGAGCCATGACTTGTGTTTTGAGTCGACTCAAAACACGGCCCATGTAGGAGCCATGACTTGTGTTTTGAGTCGACTCAAAACACGGCCCATGTAGGAGCCATGACTTGTGTTTTGAGTCGACTCAAAACACGGCCCATGTAGGAGCCATGACTTGTGTTTTGAGTCGACTCAAAACACGGCCCATGTAGGAGCCATGACTTGTGTTTTGAGTCGACTCAAAACACGGCCCATGTAGGAGCCATGACTTGTGTTTTGAGTCGACTCAAAACACGGCCCATGTAGGAGCCATGACTTGTGTTTTGAGTCGACTCAAAACACGGCCCATGTAGGAGCCATGACTTGTGTTTTGAGTCGACTCAAAACACGGCCCATGTAGGAGCCATGACTTGTGTTTTGAGTCGACTCAAAACACGGCCCATGTAGGAGCCATGACTTGTGTTTTGAGTCGACTCAAAACACGGCCCATGTAGGAGCCATGACTTGTGTTTTGAGTCGACTCAAAACACGGCCCATGTAGGAGCCATGACTTGTGTTTTGAGTCGACTCAAAACACGGCCCATGTAGGAGCCATGACTTGTGTTTTGAGTCGACTCAAAACACGGCCCATGTAGGAGCCATGACTTGTGTTTTGAGTCGACTCAAAACACGGCCCATGTAGGAGCCATGACTTGTGTTTTGAGTCGACTCAAAACACGGCCCATGTAGGAGCCATGACTTGTGTTTTGAGTCGACTCAAAACACGGCCCATGTAGGAGCCATGACTTGTGTTTTGAGTCGACTCAAAACACGGCCCATGTAGGAGCCATGACTTGTGTTTTGAGTCGACTCAAAACACGGCCCATGTAGGAGCCATGACTTGTGTTTTGAGTCGACTCAAAACACGGCCCATGTAGGAGCCATGACTTGTGTTTTGAGTCGACTCAAAACACGGCCCATGTAGGAGCCATGACTTGTGTTTTGAGTCGACTCAAAACACGGCCCATGTAGGAGCCATGACTTGTGTTTTGAGTCGACTCAAAACACGGCCCATGTAGGAGCCATGACTTGTGTTTTGAGTCGACTCAAAACACGGCCCATGTAGGAGCCATGACTTGTGTTTTGAGTCGACTCAAAACACGGCCCATGTAGGAGCCATGACTTGTGTTTTGAGTCGACTCAAAACACGGCCCATGTAGGAGCCATGACTTGTGTTTTGAGTCGACTCAAAACACGGCCCATGTAGGAGCCATGACTTGTGTTTTGAGTCGACTCAAAACACGGCCCATGTAGGAGCCATGACTTGTGTTTTGAGTCGACTCAAAACACGGCCCATGTAGGAGCCATGACTTGTGTTTTGAGTCGACTCAAAACACGGCCCATGTAGGAGCCATGACTTGTGTTTTGAGTCGACTCAAAACACGGCCCATGTAGGAGCCATGACTTGTGTTTTGAGTCGACTCAAAACACGGCCCATGTAGGAGCCATGACTTGTGTTTTGAGTCGACTCAAAACACGGCCCATGTAGGAGCCATGACTTGTGTTTTGAGTCGACTCAAAACACGGCCCATGTAGGAGCCATGACTTGTGTTTTGAGTCGACTCAAAACACGGCCCATGTAGGAGCCATGACTTGTGTTTTGAGTCGACTCAAAACACGGCCCATGTAGGAGCCATGACTTGTGTTTTGAGTCGACTCAAAACACGACCCATGTAGGAGCCATGACTTGTGTTTTGAGTCGACTCAAAACACGGCCCATGTAGGAGCCATGACTTGTGTTTTGAGTCGACTCAAAACACGGCCCATGTAGGAGCCATGACTTGTGTTTTGAGTCGACTCAAAACACGGCCCATGTAGGAGCCATGACTTGTGTTTTGAGTCGACTCAAAACACGGCCCATGTAGGAGCCATGACTTGTGTTTTGAGTCGACTCAAAACACGGCCCATGTAGGAGCCATGACTTGTGTTTTGAGTCGACTCAAAACACGGCCCATGTAGGAGCCATGACTTGTGTTTTGAGTCGACTCAAAACACGGCCCATGTAGGAGCCATGACTTGTGTTTTGAGTCGACTCAAAACACGGCCCATGTAGGAGCCATGACTTGTGTTTTGAGTCGACTCAAAACACGGCCCATGTAGGAGCCATGACTTGTGTTTTGAGTCGACTCAAAACACGGCCCATGTAGGAGCCATGACTTGTGTTTTGAGTCGACTCAAAACACGGCCCATGTAGGAGCCATGACTTGTGTTTTGAGTCGACTCAAAACACGGCCCATGTAGGAGCCATGACTTGTGTTTTGAGTCGACTCAAAACACGGCCCATGTAGGAGCCATGACTTGTGTTTTGAGTCGACTCAAAACACGGCCCATGTAGGAGCCATGACTTGTGTTTTGAGTCGACTCAAAACACGGCCCATGTAGGAGCCATGACTTGTGTTTTGAGTCGACTCAAAACACGGCCCATGTAGGAGCCATGACTTGTGTTTTGAGTCGACTCAAAACACGGCCCATGTAGGAGCCATGACTTGTGTTTTGAGTCGACTCAAAACACGGCCCATGTAGGAGCCATGACTTGTGTTTTGAGTCGACTCAAAACACGGCCCATGTAGGAGCCATGACTTGTGTTTTGAGTCGACTCAAAACACGGCCCATGTAGGAGCCATGACTTGTGTTTTGAGTCGACTCAAAACACGGCCCATGTAGGAGCCATGACTTGTGTTTTGAGTCGACTCAAAACACGGCCCATGTAGGAGCCATGACTTGTGTTTTGAGTCGACTCAAAACACGGCCCATGTAGGAGCCATGACTTGTGTTTTGAGTCGACTCAAAACACGGCCCATGTAGGAGCCATGACTTGTGTTTTGAGTCGACTCAAAACACGGCCCATGTAGGAGCCATGACTTGTGTTTTGAGTCGACTCAAAACACGGCCCATGTAGGAGCCATGACTTGTGTTTTGAGTCGACTCAAAACACGGCCCATGTAGGAGCCATGACTTGTGTTTTGAGTCGACTCAAAACACGGCCCATGTAGGAGCCATGACTTGTGTTTTGAGTCGACTCAAAACACGGCCCATGTAGGAGCCATGACTTGTGTTTTGAGTCGACTCAAAACACGGCCCATGTAGGAGCCATGACTTGTGTTTTGAGTCGACTCAAAACACGGCCCATGTAGGAGCCATGACTTGTGTTTTGAGTCGACTCAAAACACGGCCCATGTAGGAGCCATGACTTGTGTTTTGAGTCGACTCAAAACACGGCCCATGTAGGAGCCATGACTTGTGTTTTGAGTCGACTCAAAACACGGCCCATGTAGGAGCCATGACTTGTGTTTTGAGTCGACTCAAAACACGGCCCATGTAGGAGCCATGACTTGTGTTTTGAGTCGACTCAAAACACGGCCCATGTAGGAGCCATGACTTGTGTTTTGAGTCGACTCAAAACACGGCCCAT